ACACGTTAACACGAGAGTTGGAAACCCGTTAAGAGAACAGCATTTCATAATAAACATTCAACAACAATTAGCCGCAATATCATAAACTACAGCTGCAAACAGCAAAAAACAGCAACCACAACAACATCAACATTAATAATAGCTGAGATCGTGCGAAAATGCTGATTTATTGCGCTCCATCATGAAAAAAAAAAAACAAAACAAACAAACAAAAAAACAAAACAACCTCTTTTAACCAAGTTGAAGAAAGCGCAGAACGAATAACGAAGAAAAATAACCCGAATGCAATTCTGTGCGGCCTTTCATTTCATTTAACTTCATATCATCGTTCATATCATATCATTTCGTATTCGTATAATTTCTTTTCTTTCGAATGGCACTATTATATTGTGATGGATTTGTTGCATTGCATGCACGGCTGGCAGCAGCACCTCCCATCAAATATGGAATGCCCTCGGGTCGCGAGAGCAGATACTCGATTAGCAGATACCCTGAACCCAAGCCATACACGTTGTGCATATGCAAATAGTTGCTCAATCGTATGTCAGCCGATAAACAAGACATATATATATTAATAATGTGACTCTTATTGCTATCGGTAATCGATTTGTATCGATAATCGATAAGCGAAACGGGTTATCAATAAAGTGAAATGAACCCGATCTACGCATGCTATACGAGAACTTATATTAAGATCAGCTTGTTTAGGTTGCAGGTAGGCTGGCTACTTGATTGGATCGATATATATATATATATATATATATGAAAATCATGTGGGATTCGAGATGCCTGCCAATGCCAATTTCTGCAGGGTATCTCTTCTTTTTCGGTTTCTTGCGTATCTCTTTCCCTCTCTCTTTTTCTCTCTCCCTCATGCATGTTGTTGTCGAATTTGGAATTGTTGCTTGGAACACGTAGAGATAATTTCAGCACTGGTTGTTGATGATATGTTGATATGCATGCAAAAGGTCAAAAGAATCTTCATTTCATTTGCAGCTAGTTTGTTTTTTTTTTGTTTTTTCTTTTCAAACTGGAAATCAATTGATGGAAATGGAATTGAGTTGAATACAGCTGAGCTGAGCTGAATTGAGTTGAGCTGAGTTGAGATCCAATTTCAGACCCGTTTTATTCATTCATTCTGTTTCGCATTCACATTCGCATTCGATGCATTCGCTTCACCGGGAATCGTCGCCAACTGGGTCGGGGGCAATGAAACGTAACTGTTTCGCATAAGTGCATTCAGCGGACAACACTGCCACTTGCAACAAACTACAATTGCAACAAGTGTGCCTAGATATGCATATGCATATCAATATATATATATATATACATATATATATACATATATATATATATATATATATATATCTATAATTATATTTACCTAGTCTGTTGTACTCAAATTGCGATGCAAGCTGAGTCCATTAATGCTTATCGGCCAATAAATGAACATTATCTTCTTGAATCAAGCTAATATTTGTAAAATTAACCATCGCATCTGATCGGCTTGGAATATATATTGTATAATTTTTGGTACAGAAATTCAAGTAAATAAATAACTTGAACACATTGATTGTTGTTCGATTGTTGTTGTTAAGTTAAGATCATTTACTGCAAAGCACTTTTCCTTGACTGAAGCATTATTCATTTAATCAGAGATTAAATCAAACTATTCGATTCATTCAGTTGAAGTAGAAAATAACAAAAATAAAGTTTAAAAAAACATATGAAATGCTCTCATTTTCGCTTCGAAAATTGTACATTTTATACGCTTGCAAAGATCGTGGATCGTTGATCGTCGAGTGTGTAAGGGATTTGAGGAGATATCCGCAATCCCATCTAGTATATATATGCCTATTCATTCCTGTCTATCCCTGCTAGCCGACTCGATGTAGACATGGCCGATATAATACAAATTCAGTGAGGGTATCTCATGTTCGGTTTTCCTATTTTTTAATGTTTTTTTTTTTTTTTGGGATTGGCCATGTGCGTGTCTTGTTGCTGTTATTGTTGTTGTTGTTGCAACTTTGTTTTTCTCTCCTTGGTGGTTGCTTAATGGAATGTTTGTTTGTTTGTTTGTCTGTTTGGTTGATTGGTTAGTTTGATGGTTGCTTGTGGTCTATTTAAAATTGCACAATATTTACGGTAGACTGTTGCTGTTGCCGTAACTCCTCGCACTGGCCTCCAAGAATTTATGGCTAAAAACACGCACGCAATTGGACCACCAGCAGCAGCAGCAAAGTTTTCAAAAACAGCCGCAAACTTTGAAAACAGACGACGAACGGACGCATTACAAAAGTACAATGCCAAAGAAGGGGAAAACTCATGGCGAAGGTGGAGTGGGACGGGAAAATACCAAGGGAGTGCCAGTTGCCAGTTGGGAGTGGCGTCATTACATTCTGTTTGTAGCAAGTAGTCCACCCAGATGCCCATTAAAAATTAAGAGGATAAACAGCAAACAATCAATTTAATTAACCCAAGTCCATTCCAAAATGTACTCAACTTTTGAGGGGATATGGCAAGATATCGTGTGTAAACAAACAAATTTGCATTTGTTAAACTAGTCTGTGCTGACTGCTAAAATATTCAGTTTGCAGAGTATTTTATTTTATTAGTTTTTAAATGAGCTCCTTGAATATTTCAGCTGAATAAATGTTGCATGACTTTTATTTATGCGATCAGCTCAAAATCATTGCTGGAACTTTTTAAATTAATATTTTTATTTTCAACAAAAATCATTGAGTTGTAAATTGAAATGAAAGCAAAATATTTTATCGAAATATTCCATTCCATTCGTAAATCATTCAAATCGTTCTTTTTAAGAGTATACAATTTGTATCAGAAACAGGTGTTTGTGGTTCTATCTCTTTATGAGCCTCTGTGTGCGAGTGTGTGTGTGTGTGTGTGTGTGGGTGTTTAAGGTGTGTGCTCATCTCAAGTGCAAATATTAATACAATGACTATGACAAATAATACAGAAACAGAAACAGATACTTGTATTATTTTATGTTCTGACAACTGATGGCTGTGCGGTGCGGTTGGTGGCTTTATGGTGGAAAGGAGTGAGTGGTGGGGGGAGGGGAGAGTGGTGGTATAGTTGATGGCGCACTTATCAAGAATGCAAACAATGCCAGCAGACAGATACAAGAGAACAGCTCCAACAACAACAGCAACAACAACAACAATCCAACGGATTTGTTTATTAATTGACGTCAACGGCTCTGATGATGACAATTGCTGTTATGGCCACAATAACATGGCCAGAACGAAACTATTTGAATGATTGGAGTCACTTCAATTTTCGTACACGTCTCAAATTTTGTGTAACAAAGAAAAATGAATAATAAATATTCGCTCAAAAGTGCATTCAAGTTGCGGTTTGTCTAGATATTTTGGATTGCTTGATTAGAGCTGGAGCTGTGCAAATATTCAAATATATTACAAATACAGGTGCATATTATACACACACACACATATGTACATACGTACAGCAAGTTCAAGGTGGAAAGGCAGACGCAAAAGGGACAAACAATGGCAAAATATCAATCTAGCCGTGTACCAAATGTACCTCTGTACAATATGTACCAATTGCACCTCTGTACAATATGTACCAATTGCACCTCTGTACAATATGTACCAATTTACCAATTGTACCTCTGTACAATATGTACCTCTGTACAATACATACAAACAAATGGCAAGACAAATTATCAATCTAGCTAGCTGTGTACCAAATGTACCTCTGTACAATATGTACCAATTGTGCCTATGTACAATAGGTACCTATCTGGTTATCAGTGTATGTGTTTTATATACAATGTGCGCTCTTCAGTGAGTCACATTTATTTATTCATCAGCAGCAGTAGGCTACATGTGTGCGTGTGTGTGCGTTTAGAGATACAAATACATGTGCATTAGCAAAATATTGCACTAATGGTCATTAAAATTAATTATACTTTGCACATAAAATGCAATGTGCATTATGCATTTTGTAAACTTGACTGAGAGCGAGCAGATAGAGAAACAGCAAGCGTAATTTGCGCAGGTCTTTTGTGTTTTTTTTTTTTTTTGTCATTTGCGATTTTGCTAGGAATCACGAAACTGAAATTTGAATGTTGATTTTGTGCTAGCACAAAAGAAAACAACAGAAACCTGCTTAGTTCAATGAGAAAAAAAAAAAAACAAAAAAATATACAAATACAAATACAATGTACAAAAGCATACGCGAAAGAATGCGACAAAGAAGAAAAGGCGGAATCAAAATAAATCAAATATGCGCGCCATGCGCCGCAAAGCGCGTCGAGTAGAAATCAATCAAAGAAAACATGAGAATATGGCGGGGAGAGTGAGACAGGGAGAGTGCGAGTAAAATAGGGAAAGGGAGGGGGAAGTTTCGTTTTGAAAGTTTTTGCGCGATGAGGTAAGAGACGATGAAAACTTATCGCATGAGTAATGAAAATGGCAAATGCCAAATAAATACATGCCACATAATCTTATCAGAGTAGTTCACTGATACTGGCCCATATTAAAAAAAAAAAAAACAAAAAAAAAAGAGAAAACCGGGAAAACTAGCAAGCAACGCTGTTAAGGAAAAGTGAAATTTAAAGCAGCCAACCAAATTTGAAGCAATAACTTGTAATGCTATTTTCCAAATATATATACAAATTAACATGTATGTGTGTGTTTGTGTATGTGAGTTGTTTTGTTGTTTGACAATAAGAAGCATAATGCGCAATTCGACCAATTAATAGTATTTAACGTAATTCAATTGGCTTTGCGTTTAAATAATATTACACACACGCGCAGATAGAGAGAGAGAGAGAGAGACAGAGACTGGCACTCTAAACCAGTTTTAAGTTTTAATGCGATATTTTTTTTGGGAGCGTCATCTCTGAGTTGTTATTTATGCAACGGCATTTACAAGTGTGACCAGCTGACTAAAGACAAACAGACAGGCAGAGAGTAAGTGTGAGGGAGCGAGAGATAAACACCTGCACTTACCAGTTACACTGCAATGTGTTGGACTCCACATAGCGCAGCTAGCAGCACCCTTTGCAGATCAACGAGAAGATCAACAACAACAACAACGCACCACAATTCGTTATTTGATGTGATGATAATTACTGGTGGAGCTATGTAAAGGGCAGGGACGCAGTCTCTTATCGAATGCACTTGAGCGCATTAATATTTCAATTAGGACACAGCAGGTAACACAGTAACAACAAAATAGGCACACACTGTTCGACGCGTCGCTTTATTTTTTTGTATTTTTGGAAATATGTCTTGTATGTTCTGTCGAAAAGTAACACAAAAAAAAAGTAAATTAAGACGCACAGGCCACACGCGCTTGACCGACAGCTCCGTTGTATGTGATGTCTGAAATGAAACTGAAAACAATCGATGTACTACTACAGCACTATCGATATGAGCTCTGCTCAATGTGCTAAATAACACTCAAAATGCAAATGGTCACCTGAAATGTCAACTATCGATATATAATCGATACGTGCATTTGCAACACTTGTGTGTACTCGAAAGCACTTCCAAAACTGCCTTGCATCTTTTTTAAATTTCATTAATTGTTGGAAAGTACTTCTGGAGCTTGGATTAAGTGTTGTAGCTGTTGTCCTTTTATTTTTTAAATTAAATTAAATTGCTAGTAAATGGAGCCGATGACACTGGGCAGTCCCGTCAGCAGTCCGGGCAGCAATCAAGGCCAGTATTTGCCGCCATTTCTCATGTGCGATGGCCAAACAATGACGCCCCACAACAACACGCTCTCCCCCAAACTGGGACGCTACAGCGTCAGCTTTGGTAAGCCAACTAATTGCCAATCTATTTGCAATTGGTAATGTATATGCCAATCCACCCGGCAGCTACATCTCCCGGCAGCAACACGCCACAGGAGACCAGCTACAGCAATCCGCAGGCTTTCAATCGATCCGGTTTGATTGCGAATCGTTCGCTCTTTGCCGGCTGCTCTGGTGGGACACCTGCTGGTAGGACAAACAATAGTCATCAGGCTGGACCGCCCACGCAAGGACTGTTCGATACGCTGCGCACCGAGCAGGTGTCCACTGCCGCTGCTGGTGCTGCAACAGCAACAACAACACCAAACATGCAGCAACGCAATCATTTGGCCATGTTGCAAACTTCGCAATTGAACAGCACCAACTACAGTCTAAATCAGAGCGGACATCCGCCAACGACACAGCTAAATGATTCGTATGTGTCGAGTGCACCAAATGCGGTGAATGCCTCGATGCGTGCCCTGTGCTCGCCACTTGGTGCCACGATGTCGCCACAGGCACGTGGCGCTGAATTTTGGGTAACCATATTTGGTTTCTCGCCCGGCGCCAGTTCAATGATACTGCATCATTTTGCGATGTGCGGCACAATTGAGGATGTGGTGAATGCACCACAGAATGGCAACTGGATGCACGTCCGCTTTGGGTCGCGCATCGAATGTGGCAAGGCCCTCAACTACAATCAAAAGATCATTGCCAGCAATGTGATGGTGGGCGTAACCCGTTGCACCGACGACACTATCATCGACAAAGGGAACGCCCGACTGCTGGGTGCCGAGGGCACACCGGCACCGCCGTATAGGCCAAAGGTGCGTCCGCTTGCCCAGGAATCATACAACAATGCCCAGTATGACAGTCAGGTGTCGCCCAACAGGAACAATGTGCCCCAGAAGAGTTCCGGCCTGATGAACAAGGCGATGGATCTGTTCTTTGGCTGGTGAATGTCTCCCAATGAATGCAAGCACAATTTTTGTTGTATTTTTATTGCTCTTCACATACTCACACACATACACACACGCACACACACACACACGAACACACTCGCACACACACATTGTTTTGAAAGTGCAACAAAAGATTCCTAATGCATTCATTTATAAAATATACATTTATATATAGATATCGATATAGATAGATGGATAGTTAGACATGGTTGTTCTATAGAAATGGTATTACTTTGCTCCGTTTACAATCAAGCTGCAGTTGCCACGCCTAAAATTGACCATCCGCCCACACGCCCGCCCACATGCTTACAGATTTTATGATTATTTGTGTTTTCCCCCGCTGGCCCGAGCATTTATTTATTTGGGCTCCACCTGGGCCGTCTCCAGATCCTTCATCTTGGGATAGGAAATTGAGCGACTGTCGAGCTTGGACTGTGCCCACAATATCAGCTTGAGCAGGAACATCATCTTTGGCGTCGAATCCTCGCTGTGCTCGCTGCGCAAAATAGCCGCGTTCAGCTCACTGGCGATCTTTTGCCTATACGACTGCTCGAGCAGATCGGCAAAGGGGCTCTCCTGCGGCTTCTCAAATGCCAGCAGGGCTAGTGTGCGCTCCAGTTCGAAGCGTATCTCCTCGCCCGACTCGGACAGCTTGGACTGGGCAAAGACGAGTGCCTCTTCCACTTTGCCAGCGCGGATCAGCTCGATCAGTTGCAGCTGCTGCAAGTGGAAAAACAAATAGATCTCGCTGCCCAACAGATTCGGGTGCAGCTGATTCACCAGATGTGTGGCCTCCTCAATGCGGCCTTCCTGCACTGCCTCGCGTATCTGGATGCGATCATCCAGGCTGCTCAGCTCCACGCTGGGCTCCAGTTCCGCTTCGTGCTGGAACTTCTCTGCTGCCTCCTTGAAGCCCTCTGCACAATACACACGTATAAATATATAATTATATATATTATATTATAAAAAATACTAAATATAAAATATTTATGTGGATGCTGTGTTACCTGTGACCAAGTAGTTCATGATGAGACGATTCATGTCCGCCTGCTTGAAGGGAAACTGCTCGAGTCGTTGCAGCCATTCCTCTTTTGTGATGGGCTCACTTTTCTCATTGTAGCTCATTTTCTTGTTTTTCCGTATTTTGCCAATTTTGAGGCCGTTATCTGCAAACTGTGGGGAGCGCTAAATAAGTGCTTAGTTGACTGCGTGTTTACTATTTGCTTTTTTCCACCACACAATTACGGATTTCAGTTCTGCGTTTTGCGCAACACACAATAATATATATTTCTATTTCTTTTGTAAGCAGTTTGTTTTTGGACACACAAAAGCCAATGCCGTCACCTCAATGCTAGCGATGGCCGATAAATATTCGATTGGCAAATCGAAGACAGCGATAGTTTACCCCATACGATATCCCTAGCGAACTATCGATATTTTAATCAGTTGGTGCGATTTAAATTCAAGGCAATGAAACTGCCCGCGATATATTTCCCCAATTCCGTACGGATATCTACATATATATGTATATGTATGTCTGTAGATTAATAACTGATGAAATCGATGAATGCATTAATGATATTGATCTATATGTATTTAATTTGTCGCCTGTGCGGCTTAACATAAATAGTTGTTGTTACATATGCACAATCTCTAAAGTGTAGTTTAGCTGCAGCAGCCGGCGTTTAGCTCTCCTTGTGCAGCGATCTCTTTCCCTCGCCCTCGAAAAAGGGCGCTCGCTTAGCCGCCGGCGTTTGCAGCTTATTCAGCTTATAAATATATTTGTTGGGTTTTAAAGCGGCAAAGTGATGCACTAGGTTTGGCGGTTAGACTAAGAACTTTTATTCAATGTATTCTTAAGATGGGGGTATCGAGCGCAGTATCAATATTTTCTGTTATTAACATTAGTAATCGGAATGTTGTATTGATCTTTTACTCATTTTCAACAAAAATAAAGCAATCAAACAGCTGATAGCGCAAACGAATGAGTTATTTTATTATCTTATTACAGACATCTTAAGCTTATATATACTGAGCAGAAAATCATATACTTGTAAGAATAATGTCCTATTTTTGTTAGGCTTTAGCGATTTGGATTTTAACGAATTAGGATTTCATCAAAACTGAACCAGTTGCTGCCCCAGCTGGCACTGCAGCTGTAGCCCCCGCACCAGCCGCAGGCCCAGTCGCAGCTCCCGATCCAGTGGCAGCTGCAAGTCAGTTTTTGCGATTGCCTCGTCGCCGCATGGAAGCGGTGCACTTGGGGCAATACCATTTGCCCTTGGGCGGCTGGGTGATGCCCACGCAAGGATAGTGGAACCATTCGTAGGGGCAGGCATCGTTGTCGCAGGCAACCATATCGCCATAAGACACCTGGTTGCAGGTGCAATAGCGCGGCTCATTCGGATCGTACGACCATTCACCCTCCTGCGTCTGCTCCACAACCAACCCGGCATCGCTGATGGTCAGATTGGCACCCGGTGTCAGCGTACTGCTCGGCAATCCAATGGCTGTCGCTGTGACGCTATTCACAACCGGCAGGGCAACGGACGATGCAGTGGCTGCCACACCAGCAGCAGCAGCAGCCACTGTGCCATGGCCAGTTGCCATTTGTTGTTGTTGTTGCTGTTGCTGCTGCTGTTGTTGCTGCTGCTGCTGCTGTTGTTGCTGCTGCTGTTGTTGATTGACAGCGACGGGATTAAGGGAGAGGGCGCCATGGGTGGCGGGATGATGCAGTTGGCTGGCATGTGGTATGACAGCTGCAGCAGATGTGCCACTCGACAGCATGTCCACAGAGTCCACGCTCATCGATGATGTGGACGATGCAATCGAGTTGCCCGACGACCCATCCCAGAATTTGACAGCGATGCCACCAGGCATCGAGATGTTGGCATTTAACTTTCTGCAATCAATCAAGGAAAACAGAAAAAAATATGTTTAGAATTGGTTCAACTTAGTTTGAAAATTCCATTTACTTCTTGTGCTTCTTCTCCTGATGATGGTGCTGATGATGATGATGATGATGATGTTGTTGTTGCTGTTGCTGCTGCTGTTGTTGTTGCTGTTGTTGCTGCTGCTGCTGATGATGGTGATGCTGATGTTGTTGTTGTTGTTGCTGCTGCTGCTGATGATGTTGATGTTGCTGTTGTTGTGGCTGTTGTTGTTGCTGCTGCTGTTGCGACTGTTGCTGCTGCTGATGGTGATGGGTATGTTGATGTTGGCCGCTGACCAGCGTTCCAGTCGCTGGCTGCAAGCTGCTATGCTGGGCCGCTGCTGCTGCCGACCAGAACTCGTTGCTGCCAGCGACGCCAGCGACATGATGTATCGCCTCAAAGCTGGCCTTCAGGCTGGCCGTGCGTCGTCCCTGCGGCATCTGTTGTGTGGCAACGATCGCTTGACTCGCCGCTGCTGCAATGGCACTCGATGCAGATGCACCGCCGCCCAGCTGATGCAGATTGTAGCTAACCGTCGTCGCATTGCCATGGCCGACATGGCCGCCGGGCACACCTTGAACGCCGGCACCCACACCTGCACCGGCAACAGCTGCACCACCACCCACTGCCACGTTATTGGTGGCGGCGACACCAGCAGCAGCTGCTGCTGCAACAGCTGCCACGGCTGCGGCAACATTTGTAGAGTTGTTGTTGCTGGTGCTGCTGCTGCTGTTGTTGCCGCCGATTACGCTGTGCGCGCCAAGATTTGTGGGCAGCTGACGCACAAGATTGCCGGCAACAGCGGCATTAACCACATTCCCTGTGGCACCACTGCCAGCCACCATGGGCAGGGCGACGTGGGTGGTAATTGTGTTCACATGATTGCCAACGACCGGAATGACAAGGCTGGCGCCGCTGTGGCTGCCAGTGTGATGACCACCACCACTGTGATGAGCACCAGCAGTGTGATGTCCACTGTGACCGCCACTCGCCACTGGCAACGATTGATTCAGATTGGATCGCTTCTCTGGCATGGGCACGGTGCAAATCGTTTCGCGACGCTTCTCCAGCTTGCGATGTCGATGATGGCCACTGCTGCTGACTGCTGTGCTGCTGCTGACGCCTGCACTGCTGCTGCCAATGTTGCAGTTCATGCTGCTTATAATGGCGCTGCTGATGACCAGACTGCCACTGCTACTGCCACCGCCAGTGCCACTGCCACCCACAGTGCCTGTGGTGCTGATGATGCCGGCGGCGCTGTTGATGCTACCAGCGATTAGATTGCTATTCACCGCACTGCTCGCTTGATTATAGAATCGATTCTCCTTCTGATTCATGCTTAGCAGCAGAGCCGTTGCAGCCGTCGAATTGTTGCCATCCAGTTCCAGCGAGCGTTTCTCTAGAATCTCGGTGATACCATTGTTGTCCGCCTCCAGTTCGCATTTGAATTTGAACAGCTCGCTGTCCAGCCGTCGCAGAAAGCGCTCGACCAGCTCGTGGATATGTGTGGCAATTGCCACCTTCTCATCGGCATCCTCCATCACCTTAAAGTAATCGCCGCGCAGGCTGTCCATCGAATCGTGTTGCAATTCACCTCGCTTGCACTGCTGAAAGAAAATGCGCGACTTCTTGTCCAGCGAGTCCATGTTGTCTGCGGACGTGTGTGTGCGTGTGATGAATTATAAGTAACACTTTACTTTACATAATAAAACCACCAGCTACAATTAACTTACTTTGCACAGCCAAGTCAAGTTCTCGCATTTCTGTGAAACGGTCGCGCAACTCCTGCGGCAGATGCTCAATCACTGCAATTTAGGATAAAAATAATAGTAGCATACATTGTTGGCTTCGCTATCGCCATTGCACTCACTCTCCAGATAGTCCTCCAAATACAACATTTTCTATTTCTTGATGTTTGTTAATCTTTACAGCTACACAATTATTACCAAAGGCGAAAAACATGTACTGTTGTTGTCAGGGCAGCAAAACGTTTGAGGCATTGCCTGGCAAAATGGTCACCCCAAAAACAGAAGCCATTGTATCGATAAGCAATAACTTATCGAAATCATCGATGTGGTATTTTTGTTTATTTCGCTTTGTTGATGAAATCATCAAAACATATTCAATAATTTAAAATGGACATCTCCGACACGATTAAATTTCGCGACATTTGCACAATGATGGAGAGGGTTAAGGTGGCAAAGAATACGCAGCGCAAAGAGATCGTCCTGAAGCGCTACTACGACTCCTTCAGCAAGCATCGCGAGGCATTCCGACAGAATGCTGGCCTAACTGCCAAGCAATCAGAAGACGGCAAGAGCAGCTTCTATCCAGTGCTGCGTCTGTTGTTGCCCGGCGCGGATAATTCGCGCGACAATTACGGCCTGCAGATAACGGCCTTGGGACGCCTCTACACACGCGTCCTCCAGCTACCCAAGGACTGTGAGTGGCAGCAGCCAATTAACATCGATGCGATCATTTCATCCAAATAATGTTATCCATTTCTTGATTGTTATCATCAGCTGATGATGCGATTCGCTTGCAGCATCGAAGTTTCTCCTCGTTTCGTGACTATGCGGATGTGGTGCATGCTGTCCTATTGCCACGATGCCACAACGAGCCCAGCAACCTGACACTCAAGCAAGTCCACGACATGCTCGATCTTATTGCCAGCGAGGATACGACTGGTAAGCCATTTCGAATCATATAGAAGCAACGAAATGTTTTCAAATGGGAATTCTTGGCTGATTTAGTGAAGGAACGTGAGCTGATCCGTTTTACAGAGCTGGCATCGGCCCAGGAGCAAAAGTGGCTGATACGCATCCTGCTCAAATCGATGGGATTGGGGATTGGCGAGCAGCGGTTATTCGGTCTGCTGCATCCCATGGCGAAGGACATGTATCAGCGCTGCTCGGATCTGGAGCGTATCTGTAATCTGCTCGCTGACGACAAGCTAACGCTGGAGACAACGCCTGGTAATGCCACCACCAGCAGCAGCAGCAGTGCCAATATCAGCGCTGTCATCAATTTAAACACATTCATTGAGCCCTTCCAGCAAATACGTCCAATGCTGTGCGAACGGTTTCCGGGCAAGATCGAGGATCTAATGCAATCGGATGTCCTCTATATGGAACGGAAAATGGATGGTGAACGTTTTCAATTGCATTACGCACGCAATCGATTTAAATATATATCCCGCAATGGTGCCGATTACACAAAAAGCTTTGGCGATAGCTACGAACATGGAACACTAACGCCCCAGCTGCGAACACTGCTGCCCCTGGGCATGGAATCGATAATACTCGATGGCGAGATGATGATTTGGGATACGCAACAGTTGCGCTATCGCGAGAAAGGCGAAAACACAGATGTCAAACATTTAAAACCGGATCGCAGCTGGCGTCCCTGTTTCGTTGTCTATGATCTACTCTATTTGAATGGTGGGAGTCTCCTCGATATGACGTATGTGCAGCGTGCCCATAAGCTGCATGAGTTAATCACCGAACAGCAGGGCGTACTCCAGCTAATGAAGGCCGAGAAAATTGCCTCGCTTGAGCATTTCAATACGCTCTTCCAACAGATGCTCGACTCCAATGCCGAGGGCATTGTGCTCAAGAAGCAAAACTCAGTCTATAAGCCTGGTGTACGTGTTGGCGGTGGCTGGTACAAGGACAAAGCAGATGTGAGTCTGGCTGTTTGATTGTTTTCATATGATATGTGTAACATATATCTCTCTCTCTCTGTCTATCTTTCTCTCTCTCTCTCTTTTACTCAGTATATAGAAGGTCTGATAACCGAGTTCGATGTGCTGATCATTGGTGGATTTTACAATCGTAAACGGACATTCATTGAATCGTTTCTGGTGGGCGTATTGAAGCCCGGCGGCGACACGGAACGCGATGAGGTCTACAGCATTGGCTGTGTGGCCAACAATACGCGCCAGCGTAGCGTGCTGCATCACGAGCTGAGTCCGCATTGGCGCAATGCGAGCACAGACCCGCCACCGTTGTGGTATCACTATAAGCCCAACGAGAAGGATGGCTCACCGGACGTTTGGATCCAGCCCGACAAGTCCATTGTATTGCAGGTGAAAGCGGCTGACTTAACGCCAAATGGTGCATATTTCACGCCCAAATCGCTGCACTTTCCACGCACGCAGCTCATGCGCGATGACAAAGTGTGGAACGAATGCATGACGCTGCAGGAGTACACAGAACTGTGCCAGGTAAGGCGGTCAATATAATGGACACAACTGGACATTAAAATAATAACAATAACTTGGTTGCAAGGCGGGGCTATAATTATAATTGATAATTTTTAGCTGATCAGGTTTTCTTGAATCTTGATTGTTAATATTTTTCCTTGATCCTAGAGTTTGCGATCTATATTCTATCCTCAGTCCTGTACTGATGTCCTTGCCCCATTCAAGATTATTTGATAGATATTCAAAACTTACGTTTTGCAAACAAAATCAGTGGAGAACTTAATGACCAAAGAAATGTGCCAAACAATTTAATATCGCCATACTTCATGATGAATATATTGTATTTTGGAAATGGTATTCCAAAAAATGTACAAATTATTGTCAGCATACCTAGTCTTGCTGTCCAGTTGTGTGTACACATAATAGGTTTTCCATATGTATGAATATATAGATATTTTTGCAAAAACTCTTTGCCAGGGTCGCGGTGGCATTAAAAAGCTGAACAAGCGACAGGCGAGCCTTAACGACTTTACCACGGAACGGAAGCGTCAAAAGATAACGCCCGCTGAACGCAATCGTCTTGGTTTGGCGGCCTATGAGAAGCGCTACGATGTAGAGCCCCTGGAGCACAGTTCGCAGCTGTTTGATGGCTTCAGCTTTTGCATATTGAGTGGCGCTCGTGGCAATAGCAAGCAGCAGCTGCAGACGCTGGCCGCCAAAAATGGCGGCACAATCGTTCAGAATCCGTTGCCCAACGATCCGAAGTGCATTTGCATAGCCGGTGATCTGATCTATTTGGTTGAGCGTCTAATGCAGCAGCAGCCGCGCACCAACAATATTCTACGGCTCGACTGGCTGTTGCGAGTGTGCGAGAAGCAGAATATCGAACTGCGTCCCAGGGATGTCCTCTCTGCCACAAATGCGCTGCAATCACAATTCGCCAAAAGCTTTGATCGATTGGGTGACAGCTATACGGACATATTTTGCAGCATTGAGGAGCTGCAGGAAGTGCTGCAGGATATTACCGATACGCAGCTGGATACTGTAGATGTGGAGCAGCAAAATCTGGACCAACTGGAGCAGCAACTAATTGGCAACACTGCCGCATACAACATATTTGCCAAGCACCACGGTTGCTTCTATAATCGGGACGCAGACGAGCTGGCGAGACTGCTTTTTATGCAGCGTGGCGGTCAATTGGTTAGCGAATCGGAGCGTCAAAGTCTGACCATTGTATTTGTGTCTCCCAGTCGCCTGAATCGCCAGGACTTTGAGCAGTGGCATAAGCAGCACTTCGCCACACATCCCATACAAACGGTGAGCACGGATTGGATACGGCAATCGCATCGTGCACGTTGCGCTCTGCCAACAGCCGAGTTTCATTTCGCATTCTAGTTGCATTCATAGCAAACAATTTGTATATATATATTGTTGTTCACGTATTCTAAATACTATTATATATATAAAATATATTTATATTGTAAATCGTTCCGCAATAAATACACGTTTGACACGTCACAAAGATGTTGAGGATTTGTTTTTGTTTTTTGTTTTATTTACTTTCATTTTATTCATTCACATCAAGACGACGAGTTTCGTATTCAAGTTGCAAACGGAAAGAGACTGCAAATAAAGCAGCACAAGCCAGTTCTTGTAGCACCTTTCTTTTACTAGTTACACTGTTAACAATGAACAACAACTTCCAACAGTGTGGAAGGTTCAAAAGCAAAAAGAGTTCTTGAACCAATTTGAAACATACATTTTAGATACAATTACAAGTCGGGTTTTTATCGAAAGGGAAAGTGCTATTGCTGTTTCTTTCTCGCTCGCATTTGATTCAAACAATTTGACAACAATTATGTTTATTTGATACGCTTGAAATTCGATATTTAATTTCATTTGCAGCAATAAGGACATCAAAAATACATTTAACCTTTTTTTTGTTGCTTTTTTCATTTGTATATGTATATACATATGTACATACATATACATATGTACATATGTATATGTTGATATAGTTATGTAAGTTTTCTAAATTTAACAATTCTTTAGAGCATTAGCCTTTTTCTTGACTCTTTGATCAGTTGTAGGCGAACAATAATACAAAATACAAAAAAAAAATGTATATATATATATATATATTTATATATATATATATATATATATATATATATATATATATATATATATATCTTATATATAGTACTTAGTTCAACAAATCGGGTGTATGCCCATCATATAATATATGTATATTTGTATTTATCAGGAATATATGCAATCTCTGAGATTATTTAACACATTTACATCCATAACACCTAAAAGCTTTTTAATTGGGCTACCGGTTTTCAAACCAGTGCGGAACACTGCCTAATTGTTTGAGGATTGTTCAAATTTATGAAAATTACATTTCAGCTTTCAGAATTGTGTTTGCTCTAAGTAATCTTAGGTATTTTTTTTTATTTTTTTTATTTGTGTGTTTATTCAAAATTATTCAGCAGCCTGCTTTATTATTATTATTTCTATTATTCATTATTAATTCTCGGCGAAATTCGTCTTTAAAATCAAATTCTATGCTTTAATATTATTATAGGTATAATAAATATTTGTGTTCATTTTCTTGTGTATAAATATCGTACAGCAAATCGTTAGTTAAAGTTATACAAATGCATATTTAAGAGGGTTGATTTCATTCTGTTTTATTTGTGGCTTTTGTCCTTTGATTGAATTAATAGTGTTGAAATTATTTTATTTAATTAAATGTCTGAACAAACTGAACAGTTTTTTCTCCTGGGCCACTTGTTTTTTTTTATTATTTTATTGTAATACTAATTAATGCGCTTTAAACACACAAGGAGACATTTAGAACATATACATGGACATATACATATATATAAATATATACATATACATATACATATGCATATACATATACATAAACATATACATATACATATACATATACATATACATATACATATACATATACATATACATATACATATACATATACATATACATATACATATACATATACATATACATATACATATACATATACATATGCATATACATATACATATACATATACATATACATATACATATACATATACATATACATATACATATACATATACATATACATATACATATACATATACATATACATATACATATACAATCATTTTTTATATGGTAATGCGAAACTATGACTACATTTAGAAACTATTAACAGTAATAATAGTCTTAATAATAATAATAATAAAATATAATGTTAATAATAATAATAATATTTTGTTTTCATCTTCATTTCGATATAATTTAAACATGTAAAACTTTAACAGTATGAAAAAAAAGGGTTTTTGTTTTTTTTTTTTCTTTAAATAAAAAGTCTTTTGGAATTTTCGCATATTCATATTCGTTACTAAAAATATTTACACATGTACATAGATAATTTAAATTTGATTTTGCAAAAGAATAAAAAAATGTGTAGAAATTCTTGTATATTTTGCAGGAAAAAATAGGTGTTTAATATGCACATATGTACATATATCAAATCAGACTTCAACTTTCAAAAAGTTTCGGGATAATAAAGCAAAAAAAAAAAAAAAAAATGATTTCAATAATTTAAATGTTTTCATTTTAATGTATAATGTATGTTTTATATTGAGTTAAATTATTTTGTTGTGCTTCGTCTGTTTATTATTTATTATTATTATTATTATTTAGCTGGTTCGCTTGCTCGTAGTTTATTCATGTATTTATATGGCAGTCGTTATCATTTTTGAGATAATTTGACTTTTGTTGAAAAAATCAATTAAAAATTAACAAGTGAGCTTAAAAAACTACAAAAGTGTGTGTGTGTCTGTGTGTGTGTGTGTCTGTGTGTGCGAGAAACGCATTCGGTTGCCATTTTCTCTTTGGTGGTAATCAGTTTTGCTTACCAAATATTTAAAATTGTACCATAGAATTTTGTCCACATTAAAATGTTGATGTGTGTGTTTGTGTGTGTGTGTGTGTGTGTGTGTATATATATATTTATACGCTTAGGATTAGGCCTGTGTGGTTTCCCCTTAGTTGATTAAAATAACCCAATAGTTTAATTTGTTGATCAGTTGCTGTTTAAACTAAAAAGAGAACAAGAAATGAATTTATTTTTATTTATCTTTGTCGAAACTCGAATATTATTCGAATATTTGTATAATTAAGGAGATATTTGCAATACTCGAATTGAGTGCATTCTGACTTGGCTTATTAATCGAAAGCAACAATAAATGAATCAGTTAATGTTGGCAATTCTTTAGCAATTTTTTTTTATAATAAATAACTATACAAATTATTTAGAATATCTTTGGCTTATCCAGAGAAACTTACGCTGATCGAAGGTGCTCGGATTGATGTAACTGATTAGATCCTGATCGGACATTGTGGTCAGCTCCTGAGGTATCGGTGGCTGCACAGCAACAGCAGCGGCAGCAGCAACAGCTCCAACGGCCGCCGGTAGAATGCTGCCGGCGCTGCTGGGCGCCGATGCCTGTTGGGTCATTACGGCACCGTTTGTGGTTACGGCAGCGGTGGCAACCGATTTCTGCAGCGCATTCTCCGTGGCGAGGGCGACAATGAGAGATTCTTGTGGTGTGGGTGGCACAACGGGCAAATGAACAGCGGACAGCGTGGGAAAGACAGCTGCAGCGGCTGCTGCTGCTGCCGCCGCTGCTGCCGCTTCCACAGCAACCGTTTCTGTGGTCGTTGTATGATTTAACAGTAGATTAACAAGTGGATCATTCGTGGTGGCAGCTGCATTGCCCGCCTGCTGCTGTTGCTGTTGTGGCGCATGTGGATGTGGATGTGGCAAGTGTTGATGTTGCTGCTGATGTTGCTGCTGGTGTTGCTGCTGGTGTTGTTGCTGATGTTGATGTTGATGATGATAATGATGCTGCTCCTGCTCCTGCTCCTGTGTGGTTATAAAATCGGCGGCTGCCTTAATAATCATGTTGCTGACTGCCGTTGATGTTGCTGTGGCTGCCACTTCCGGTTGCATAACAACTGGTGTCGGTGGCAGTGTATTGTGTACATCCGCATTTGGTGGACTCATCATAATGTTGCTCAATGCCAGTGCAGCGACCGCTGCATCCTGTTGCGTTGGCTCCGCCTGCATGGCAATGTCATTCAATATCGAATTGGCCATCGTCACCTGATGTGGCGCCAATATATTGGGCACAACGGCAGTCGCTGCCCCATTTGCCGAACAGAGTATGGTCGATGGTGAGACAGCTGGATTCATAATGATATCGGTGGATAATGAGCCGCTGGTACTGTTGACGCCTCCGCCAGCAACCGCGGGCCCAGTTGCCAATTGTTGGAGGCCAGCGCCAAGTGCTGCTGCCGGCTCCGAGTTCAATATGATGTCCTGCGTGAGTGGCGAACTATTTGGCGATTGTGTATCGCTGCTCGAATGGGAGCTATTTGAATTGTTGCTACTGATCGAAAGGCTGCGCTTCAGCACACTGGGCGCGGATGTGGCAGATGTGTGCGATAAAACGCCCACCTTCTGTTGGAGAATATCGGTTAGGGCATGATCAATCACCGCTGCTGTGGTAAAGAGCGCCGGCTCACTTGTCCCATTACTATTGACAACGGTTGTCGATTTGGTTAGATCATCAATGAACTTGTGCTGTTGCTGCTGTTGCTGTGCCGGTGCCTGATGCTGTTGATGCTGCTGCACCACATGCTTGACAATCTCATGCTTAACGGCCAGCTCAACGGCGACGGCAACAGCGGCGGGATCCAGATCAACGGTCGTTGTGGCAGCAACCGGAAAACCGGGCATACTATTCGACTGATCGTACATGATCGCATCCAGGCTGTTCTTGCGTGCGTAGTGTGCATGATATTGTAGAGCATTGGGACTGCATGGATTGATGAGTGCCTCCGGTGAGTGGAGGCTGCTATTGTTGTCCTGTGCGGTGCGCGGACTATGCGAACTATTCTCATCGAGCAGTTCACTTTTCAGTGCCGCCTCAGCGGTAAGATGCACCAGTTGCTGCTGCTGCTGCTGCTGCTGTTGCTGTTGCTGCTGTTGTTGCTGCTGATCGGTGATCATCGGTGTGGACCCAGACAACGAGGATCGACGTAATCCCATCGGTATTTGTGTGGTTATCGGTGGCGGCATCATGCCCAAATCAAGCTCATGCTTCGTCTCGACAACGTTCGCTCCAGTGGCGGCATTGCTGCCACTATTCGTCCAGACTGAGTTGCCAGTGGATGGTGCACTGCTGGTGTCCATGAAACTGCCACCATCTACAAAAACAAGAGACAGTTATTTAGTACACAGGCTGTGGCATTTGCGTCGTTTTTCATGGGCTTTTCGTGTTCTTTTTTTTCTCTTTTTTTCTTTTTTTTTTTTTTGTGGGTTGGTTGAGGGGGTTCGGTCGGGGGCGGGGAGTCGAGAATCAACTAAAAAAAAATATTAAGCAAAAATGATAAAGAAAATATATATAAAAGTATAATATAATAAAAAAAAAAAAATTTTGGGGAATTATTATAACTGAGTAAAGCGCTTACTTCTAGCAGTGGGTGTAAACACAGGGGGCGAGAGACAGAGACAGAGACAGAGACAGAGAGAGACAGAGAGAGAGAGAGAGAGAGAGAGAGAGAGAGAGATAAATGGAGATAAAGAGAAAGAGATGGAGACAGAGAAAGTGAGAGGGAGAGGGCGAGAGAAAAGAGGCAGTCAGCTGAATTGGTGGCTTTGAAATAGAGAGCAATTGCTTATAACTTACATAGCTAGAGGAAACCTTAAAGCTAATACTAAAATTAAATAAAATACATTGCTCTCTATTTGTGAAGAAACCAATTCGCTGCACTCAGTCAATGTTTGGATGTACTATATACATATATGTATATATATATATATATATATATATATCAATTGGTTTTTTTTTTTTTTTTTGTCGGTCATAGATGGAGTAAGGGGGTCGTGGATGGGTGTGTGTCTATGGGGAAGGTTGGCTTGGCTTTGGTGTGTCTATGGCAGGGGTATCTATTGCTTGTTTGGGGGCTTGGTGGGTTAAGTCTTATGGCCCAGCAGGGCCTACAAAATTAAAGGCTAGTTATTAAACGACTTTATTAGGCTATAAATATATGTATAGGTATATGTATGTATGTATGTATGTATGGCTTGGGGAAATTGCTTTGATCATCGACAGCATTCACAAACTCACAACGGCTATCTATTATTCAATTCAGAAATCAAATACACACACACACTCTCGCACACACACACACACACACACGCACAACAAACGATCTGAAGCCAACAACCGATGAAGCTAGACCAAATAAAACGCCATCTTGCGATCCAAATCCAAAAGCAAATGTTTAGCGATGTCAAGATTCACACTTACAAAATAGTAGAAGAAGAAGAAGCTACACACATGAGGCGAGTACGGCACAAAATGCACGAGGTGTTCCATCGAAAAACACTACTAATAATTGTAGTAATCGTGAGCAAAACAACAAGAATATTAAAACGAACAAACCAACTCTCTCTCTCTCTCTCTCTCATACAACACAATTTCTCTCGCATTCATCTATCGTTACGCTCTCTCTCTCTCTCTCTCTCTCTCTCACACACACACACACAGAGATTCTTAAGTTCAGTCAGGCTCGATTTCAGACAGTTCTCGCAAAGCAATTTCCAGGGCAGCAGCTTAATAATAAGATTTTTAAGAACTACACTTATAATTTAAATATTTTAATACGTTTGTATGCGCATCATTAAAATCTAGTTAGATTTGTTTTTATCATTATGTTTATTATCAATATTATATATATATATATATATAAATATATGTATATATATATATATATATATATATATATATATTATTTTTGTGTATATATCATATATGTATGTAAGTATATGTATGAGTTTTATGTGAGGTCGGATAAATTGGTCTGGTTAGTAGGAGAATGCTAGATGATAGTCGGAGTGCGAAGAAAAAAACATCTTATTATCATAGAAGATAGAACAACAATAACATTAACATTAACATTAACACTAACCACACACCCACACCCACACCCACACCCACATTGCAGATCGATCAGTTCACCAAAGTGGGATTAAGGACTAAGTTCAACTGCACCACCACCTTGTATATCATGGGCACATTTTGTTTTGTAGTCGAGGTATATCTCTAGGCGTAATGCTGAGGCTCTGAAGTGCGAGCAATGCTTTTAAAATTCCACTCGTTCTAGTTGAGTCCCATCACTACTTCTTAAAGAACTTTCTTATAAATGCCCTAAACTGTGCAGCTGATTAGACCAAAAAAAAAAAAAACAAACTATAATAATAATAATAATAATAATAAACCCAGGTTTTGGCTGTTTACAAATACAACGCATATACTTTTCCCCATTCTAATCGAAACTCTTTGTTCTTAAACTCTTCATGATTCCACTAATCACTAATCATCATCATCTTTCCCGTCATTTCAAATGGTTGGCCAATTTAAAGGTACATAAAACTGTCTCTTTGATGATTTGGAAAACTAAATTCCAACTAAAATAATGATCTTCACAACTTTACTACTATGACATAATATTTTGAAATGAGTACGAATTCAAAGTTGTATAAATATATATGATGAATCGATAACAGATCAAGTTCAATGAACGATTTCGTATCGATCATAGACATGCATCTGTTTATGAATCTAGTCCACGTCTTATGCTGAATCGAAAACAAGATTTTTGACAATTAGTTAATGGGGCATTTGGAATATGGTATATGGTATATGGTATATGGTATGTTATATACTATACTATATATGTATGTATAAATACGAGGTACGACGCTGTTATTTATGGTGTATTGAAAGGTGTATGTGTGTAGTATGTATAGCTAGGTATAAAGTTAATAATAATGGTAGACATATAAATATGTACGAAATGTCAAACGAGGTCAATGGTTCAATATATATATATATTTTTTTTTTCAGTATTTCAGTATTTTGTTGGTATTTGTGGTTTTTTTTTTTTTTTTTTGTTTTGTTTTGTATCACCAGTACCCTAATCGAGTGGTGCAGAGGGCTCCATGTTGTTGCTGTGACTCGCTCGCGCTGTTGCTGTTTGCTGGCTGGCTGGGCTGTGTTCCGTGTTGAGTTGAGTTTTCGTAGACGCAACGCTGTAGATTCTTCATCTGCTCCCTGCAGTTATTCCATCTGACCATCTGTTTTTTTTCTTTCTTTTTTTTGTTGTAGAATCGTACTTAAAATGTCTGGGTGTGTGTTTTCTATGATTTTAGGGGGGTCGATCCGTGATCATATTTATTCGTGTGTGATATAAACATATATATATATATATATATATATATATATATCTATGTATATATTGATATATCTTTGGATATAATATTTGTCGATTTCCATTTAAGCTGTGGCGCTTTTATCTTATTGCTGCCTTATTTGATTAATTTGACTTGGATCATGATTTTGTACTTTTGGGGAATATTCTTGACTAGATTGTTTCTTTGTTTGTGTTCTTTTTTGTTTTTGTTTTGGTTTTGCATTTTATAGCACTCAAAATGGTTACATATTTGACTATATAGTATATTGAGCACCTAAATTGCTAAGAGAAGGGGAGGAGGAAGAATAAAGTAAAAATATATATATGTATATTTTTAATTTTTTTTTGTTTTGTTGAATTGTTGTAATTAGTGTTGCGAAAAAGTTCCTGCCAGGTGCCCTGAACAAGAATTAGAACGGCTGCCTTCTTTTTTCTCTCATTATTTTAATATTCATCATCATATTCTTCATCTTCTTCTTTTTTTTCATCTTCTTCTGCATCTCCTCTTGCTGCTGATTTGTTGCATTTTTGTTATCGGCTATCGATTATCGGATGTGTCGTGTTATCGGTTATCGGTTGTATCGATTATCAATTATCGGTTATCGGCTATCGGTTGAGTCTTCGTTAGCTGCAGGCGCTGGCTTCGTGCGTTGGAAACGTGATCAAGAAAACTCTGCATGCCTCATACAATAAGCACCCACTTTGCATTCACCCATTCCCATTCACGCACACACACACACACTCACGCACACACGCACACACGCACACACACACACACACTCACACACACACACACACACACACACATCAAGACTCTGCTAAAGGAAAAAAGTAACCCCGATAACTGTAGGTTAACGGCTCCCAAACTAATGTGTTTTTACGCAGAAAACTATATTCAAACGAAGAAATCTCAAGCAACGCGTTGCCCTCAATTCATAGAGAAAAGTACTATTAAGTTTCGTTATGTGAATACTATTAAGGATTTCTTCGGCATCATCGATCAGGGAATCGGTGTCTCACGATCCACAGCAAAAATAAAAAAGCAAAGGCAATGGCAATGGCAATGGCAAAATGAACTAAACCCACATTATTTCGCACATTCACACCGCAGAGTTGTTTCGATCAGTTTCCGAGTGGCCTCGTTCATCAGTTGATTCAGTGAGAAATTGAGGAAGAGGAAAGCCAGATATTCGCGCAGTGTATAAACTCTCCATATTTGAAAGCTTTCGAGAAAGTTTTCTGAAGCGTCGCAGAGTTTTGTGCCATCTCGTTTTACAGATTGCAGTTTTCTTCTTTTTTTTTATCATAAATATTAAGTTTTTTTTTTGTTTTCTTATTTTGTGTGTGTTTCCCAGTGAAAACACAGTGTCCTAACTTGCATTGCATATTATTTACCTTAATTATATTAATTGTGTTTGTTGTTGTTGTAGTTTTGTTTTGTTTTGTTTTGATTTTGTAGCTACTTAAATATTATAATTATGTGATCATATTTTGTTATAGCTTCCATGCGTTATTCTGTGTCAATGGCAATATATTCGATTGGAGGGCGAGGCAAGCAACATTTTAGTGGTGTTCGGGATGCAATTGCTTTGATGGGTCATTCATGAAATCTGAAAACAACTTTCTTCAATTGCTCGACAAACCCAGTTGAATTATGCTTAAAATAGATTAACTCATGATTTGGAATTCACAAATAATTGTATATATATGTATATATATATATTAATGAATGTGTAATATCGATTGAGTGAGGCCCATTGGAATTTTGTATTGTTAGATGCATTTTTGAAAGTTAGAAATTGTAAGTGTGTAAAATGTGATTTCTATTTAGTATTAGTTTTGAATATTTCGTATTGTATTTTTTTTGCCAAAAATCTGGTGCACAAGAAAATGTGGCTAGTGAATTTTAAGTAAAAAATACTCTATTTTTATGAGTTGTTCTTATGCTTTTAAATACAATTACTGCACTCAAGTAATTCATTCTTGATTGAAACTATTTATTGACTTTATTGAACCGCCTATTTGTATCTATGCATCTGCATCTACTCGCATCTTAGCTTAATAGTCGAGGGTGGCCAGATAAAATATGAAATACTATTCGTTGGCCCACAGAATAACGCATGAAGGCATAAAAATTGTTGTAGCAGATTTTTTATATTGTTGTAATTTAAAATTATATATATTATCATTTATGGCTTTATAAATGGCTCTACTAAATATCTAATAAGCTAACTAATCAGTGTGTTTTCGCAACTTTGGCAAGAGGCGCGGTTATATAAAAAAAAAATATATTTATATATATATATATATAAAACAGTGAAAAGTATTTTGGTATTCGTTTTTGTTGGTCTGTTTTTTTTTTTTTTTTTTTTTTTTTGAACTAACTGTGGTAAAACGAGTTAACGCGTTTAAGTACGTATTACATATATACGATGGATATACATATATGTAATTATGTAAGTATGCATGTATGTACATATGTATGTATGTATGCATGTACGAGGAGTATACATACGTATGTATATGTATTTCATAGTTATTGAATAGACTAACGTTAACGTTAAAGTGCGTTCAACTGGCCTGCCTGCGACGACTGCCTGACGGATTGTGGTTTAAATTGTTGTTTCTTTATTTTTTTTTTATATATTTTTTTTTTTAAATGTTCTTGTGTTTTTTTTTTTTTGTTTTTAATCATTTTTTTTTTTTGTGCGTGTGATTTTGTTTTGAATCGCTATTGATACGGTTATGATGGTTGATGATGCCTGCAAGGGCTTCGGCTAAATATTTTTTGTTTTTCCTTCATGTTTTTTTTTTTCTTTCGGTTTTTCTTTTTTCTTTTTTTTTTTATGTATATATAGAAATAGTTAACAAATAAATACCTTGGCTATGCATTGTGCTACTTAACGTGCTGGCCGCCGCTAGTGTCGTATAGCTGCCCTTGGGTGTATAGATGAAGGTGTGCGGTTCGCTCTTCTTGCCGCTCGATATAATGGACACCTGTACGCTGACCGGCTTGAGCAGGTTCTGATGCAAATACGGCGGCACTGTGCAGATCAAATGCGTCTACAAATGCACACACAGGCAAATATCATAATTATTCAATATTGAATTCTAGATGGATGTGTGCACTCACCTGATGCAAATACTCCTTATCGGGCAGTACGCTCTGCTCCCATAGAGCAGCGGTGCCACCGATGAGCTGCTGGCGTACGGCTATTTCCGTTGCGGGATCATCGCCATTGACACTGTCGTACGTCTCCTGGAACACAACATGTGTGTCCTTCAAAAAGTTCTTGCCAATGATGAACAACTCCAAGCCGCCATCAACGGGACAAGAGTTCAGTGATTTCTTGCAAATCTCTGGAACACCGGGTGGCTGAGCTGTAAAATATTGAAATAATTTAAAAATGATAAATATATACAAATATATATATATATGGACATATTCAGATTAATTGGAATACTTACTGCATATGATGGGATTGGAGCAGACCTGCAGCGTTTCGGTGCTGCCATCATCTTTTGTTAGCTGAGTGCGGAATACCATGCGGCAACGTGTTGACTTCTTCTTGTTCTTTTGCGCCAGATGCTCGGGGAAACGATGCTCCACATCGACGTTGCGTTCCTGCAACATTGCAACAGGACAACAGGGCAAATATGATTTAGTTTCATTTAGTTTAGCTTTTGGCATTATGTGGATGAACGTACCTTGAGTATGCCAACGCAATCGCAGGTGACGGTCATATCCGTTTCGGGCTTGAAGTCAATCTCAATGACCATGGTGCCATCGACTTTCTTCTCGTTGCACTGCGTTGAATTCTTGCCGGCCACCTTGCACGCCTGATAGAACATGTGGGGGACAACGCGTCCAATGTCCGTGCCAATGAACACCTGAAGCACGGCGGACTTAACGTAGCCGGTTAGCCGGACAATGGGGAAGCCATTGCCGCTGCGATCTTTGACGGCGCCGCGGCTACCCTCGGTCTGGTAGCGAGCGCGATGCTGTTGCTCTGGCTGCGACACAATCTCCAGTTGGACATGGCCATCATTGGAGCTGGCGATGCTGTTCAGTGGCGTCGTCGGTTGCCTCTTGTTCGCCACACGCGTCACGGTGCGCGTTCCAATGAATCTGTGAAGCGGCAAATTGAACAAGCACACAATCAGAAACAGAAACGATAGCACCTGATAGAGATGATGATACTACTACTACTACTCCTCCTCCTCCGCCTCCGTCTCTGCGACTCAACATGAATCGAATCGAATATATTAATATAGTTCAAATCATTCCCAAACACAAATACTACACTCAGAGAAAACAATTTGGCCGGAAAACCAGTCATTATCTTAGTAATAATTGCTAAATGTACGTTACAGTTGCTATATATATATATATATATATATATATATTTATACGAATAATATTGGTTTCTCTAAGAAAAATGTTAAATTTCGGTTCCAATTCTTCTTCTTAAAAAAAAAACAAATATTTTTTGAAATTTAGTATTTCGAATTCTGATTAAAAAATGTGGATGAAAAGCGGCCCCAGCTGGTTTTGTTGATTCTCTCGGGTATATTTGTTTAGTGTATCCTGAGTGTAGTTTGTCTTAGGGAACTTTTTTGCTTGGATTCTTTAGGAATTTTTTAAACATTTTTCACTACTGTTTGCTGTTTGTTTTGATAGGTATATATATATATATATATATATATGTATATAAAGTATGCTATGCACGAGTATGTGTGTGTTTAGCGTATGCGTATAAATGATTTATGACAAAGAATTTAGTGCAACATGTGCTGGCCAGGATGAAACAACTTGGTAAGGCACAACACACACACACACAGACACAGACAGACACATTCACACACACACACAGACACACACACACACACACACACACACACAGACACACTCACACATCAATCGAAATGATTTATGCACTGTATAATACACACAAACACAAACATAGACACCGGAAAAACAAACAAAAATACAAAATCATTCTTTAATTTTATTAATTTTTTTTTTTTTTTTTTTGGTATTTGTATATTAACATAAAAGCTATGAAAATAAGCAGCAAAAAGAAAGAATGTGAAAACAAAAGAATATAAAATTGTGGATAAATCAAAGCTGCACTTTGCAGTTATTGTTATTGTTTTTGTTCTGTTTGAATTTTTTATGCTATTTGATTGGCTTTATTTTTTGCTTATTGTTAACGATTGATTTTGTTTACCACACACACACACACACACAAACAGAGACCAAGACAAAAAGAGCGATAGATAGAGAGACAGAGAGAGAGAGAGAGAGAGAGAGAGAGAGAGAGAGAGGGAAAGAGATAGAGAGCTAAATAACACACACACACACAAGCAAGTGTAAATATAAATATAAATACAAAAATATACAACAAAAGTCAAATAACATATTTTTCGATTTTGAGGCATTTCAGAATTCGAACCAGAATTGAATCTGGGCAAAAGTGCTCAACACATTTCGGATAATTACTAAGCAATTTTGTTTTTGTTTTTTTTTTTGTGGCTACTTTTGTGGCAATTTTATGCTGTCCATTTGTTTTTGTGATATTAATAGTTTCTCAATAAAAACAATGAAAATAATAATAAAAAATATATATATATATATATATATATTTAACAAAGAAAATGTTGCTAATTTTTCATTTTGTGGCTATTTATATTTCTGGCATATTTATGAATCATTTATTCAAAAAGTATATTTATGCAATTTCGAAAGGACTTTTTTTTTGTTATTATTATTGCTGTTTCCATTTTTGGTAATTTTGTTTAAATTGTTGCCTGTGAATGTTGTAGTTGGTTCTATTTTTCTGTAAAGAGAAGGCCGCTTACTTTGGCTCATTGCTGTGATGATTGCTGCTGATCCTGCAATGGATTTTGTTGTTGATTTTGGGGCCGGCATTGACGACTCTGCTGACGTCAGTACTGTCTGCAGCAACTGTGGCAATTTTGCGTATAAACTCATCCTCGCTGCACGCATCATCGTTGTCGAGCTCCACCTGATTGCATTCATATTTTTTGCGCTTTAAATGCTTGCCACCACCACGACCATCTCCTCCACCGACAGAGCCATTGCTGCTGCTGCTGCTGCTACTGTTGCTGCAACTGCTGCTGCTCTCATGCTGCTGGTGTTGCTGTTGTTGGTGCTGTAGCTGCAAATGTAATCCAGGATAATGAAATTGCTGCTGTTGCTGCTGGTAATGTTGCTGTTGCTGCTGCTGCTGTTGCTGCTGCTGTTGCTGCTGCTGTTGCTGCTGCTGTTGTTGCTGTTGTACAGCAATGGCATTGGCAACATCCAACTCGGTAGTTTTGTGACCCATGCTTGTATTGAAGATGCCCCCAAACAGTTCTGAGCTCAACGTTGGCGTTGACGAACACGAAGACGAACACGAAGACGAAGACGGAGATGACGACGATGAGGCTGTTGTCGCTGCCGCTGGCGTTGTCATTGTTTGGTTGCTGTCGGTGCCAAAGCCAGTGTCCTCGTCATTGCTGTGAGCTGTTGCTATTTCATCCACAAATGTTGATATCGACGAGTCCGACTCGATTTCATCCAGATAGTTGAGCATTTTCTTGGCATGATGCGATCTACATACATACATATTTATTTACATACATATATTCACACACACAATATATATATAATTATATATACATATATATACAAATGTATATATATATATATATATATATACATTTAGTTTCTATTTAATCACAATATTTGTTTGTTGTTTCGATTTGTATACATCATTTAAATTAATTTTGATTCCAAAGCGAAAAAAGAAAAAACAATGAACAATATAATATTAAAGAATTCTGTTCGACATGCATACATACATACAGAAGCAAAGCGAATATAAACAGACACTAAACGACTAAATGATCATAATCAATAAATACCGCGAATCAAATCAATAATCTAATAATCTAATAAAACACATGAAAAGTGAAAATCAAGTGATTTGCACAATTCAATTGGAAGAGCTGCGATTGAATACGATTACGAATAAAAAAGCCACACACACACACACACATACACACACACACACACACACACACACACACACAGACAGAATTACATAGTCAATCGAGAATTGAGAAAGAAGGCGAACTTCATTTGAATAATAATAGAACTTGAAGTAGTTCATTCGAATGCAAATCGAATTTCCGTTCAAATCTTGTTGTTGCCCACAAAAATGCCATTGCCACATTGCCACATTGCCACAGAATTGCAAAGAGAACGAGTTCATAGCACAGAAAACAGTTACATTTTTGCTATGAACTCAAACTAAGCTGCAACCAATTTTTTGTCAACTTGTTCAATACATTCAATAACAATTAAGTATCTCTAAAATCGAAATCTAAACAAATTCAAGCACATTTCATTATTCATCCATATGTATATAGTAGTAGTTATATAGTATAGTAGAGCAGTTATAGGCATTGGTAGTCGTCCGATGTTGATAATCTCATAACTAGTTTTGAAAACAACAATAAATATCTGATTGGCATAGAATTTGAACAGTGCTGAGGAGAAGGAGAGAAGGATTTATTCGAAATTCGAATTTCGAAATAATCGTCTCCTAAGAATAATAATAATATGATATTACAGAACGTGCACTTTTGCAATAACAATCTAATTTTGAACTTTGAAATCCGAATCCAAGCCAAATCCAAGTGCAAATGTTATCAGTTGAAAATGAGACAATGAGAAGATTACCATTGCCACACGGCGTATGCGTAACGAAGTACAAATTATTACAGTGGCTTTGGTTTTTAATCTACGGCTTATAAAGAAAAACATAAACTAAACAAATACCAAATTGTGGACTAACCCAAATGTGCATAGGCCAAAGCTAAATAGTGTTGTGTTATCATTCGAGTGACGAGTGACGAGTGACGACTGACGAAGATTAAATACCCTTAAACTTTCATACATAACGTATGTATGTATGTATGTATGTATCTATGTATGTATAATATTTTATTATATTTTTATTATGTTCTTTTAGTTCAAACGAGAGTTGAGACCAAGGCGACGAACATGGCTATATCCGAGCTGACTAATTCAGTCTACATCTCAAAGTCATTGCCCGTTTGCAGCCACCAAGACACAAAGAACGACACGGAGAGAAAGAGAAGGACAGAGAGACAGAGAGAGAGAGAGAGAGAGAGAGAGAGAGGGAGGGAAAGAGGAGAGGGCTGACAGAATACAAATCAAATTAGCTGCACACACACACAACCACACACAACCACACACAATCACACACAATCACACACAACAATAACAACAACATCATAAAAAAGTAGGTGCAAATGAAAAATGTAAATGCGAAAATCGAATGAAAAATAAGCAAGTTGGCAGCGCCCACTTGAAGCCCATAAAGCAATTAACTTACACACTCGACATTTTGATCATATAAATCACAGCGATACTTATTCACCAATTTCGCATTGTGTCAGTAACAAAAAATATATAGACAGTGATAAGCGCACTTTTCAAAAGTGTGGCCGGCAACTTAAAACTGCTGCAGCTGATGGCACTGATAAGATACAAAGAAATGCGATTACGCTGCGATTACGGGCATGTAATTATATATGTGGCAATCACATTATGGCAACAACACTCACACATACACACACACACCCACACACAGAGACAGACCAACTACAACAAACACAATCTAGTCTCTAAGCAGTCATTCACCATGACCTACAATGAACCAAATGCATCGCAAAAAAAAACCTGTCAAACAAATTATATTTGCGTGTTGAATATTACATTTTTGGTGTTTTTTTTTTCTTCACTATTAAAGATCTGGGCAATTATATATATATATAAATATATACATATATATATAGATGTGTTAAATGATGTGAGCATGTGAATAATGTATTTAATAATGTACATGTTGAATTGATGCAGCAATGAGAATTCCAATTTCAAATATTTGTACAATTTCTGTATGCGATTTCAGGAATAATATTTAACCCTTTATTAAATACGTTTTTGAGTTTTTCAACACGTGGTGCGATGAAGAGTTCAATGTATAAAATATATATATAATATGTATCGGATTGCGGATCACAAGTATTATTGCAACGGTGACACAAAAACCATACAAATTAAGAACACTTCCTTTCGAAGCGGAGTCCAGCAGACAACTGGACAACTGGGAACTATACTCGTAAATTCACAAATTGAATTTTCTATTTCATTTTTTTTATATTTATTTATAATATAAACAATAATGGTGAAAGGCGTCGGATTGCTGAAGCGTCTCAATTTAACACCTGTGTGTGTTTTGTGTGTGTGTGTGTGTAAATGAGAGCAAGTGCAATGAGAGTGTGAGTGTGTGGTGTGTGTGTGTGTGTGTGTCTGCGTGTGTGTGTGTGTGTGTGTGCGTAGCTAAACAGCTGACCGGCTGAAAGGGTAGATGGACTCACCTTGAAACGGGTATCGCGCGTATTAAATGCTGCTGCGGTGAATGTTGCTGCTGCTGATGTTGCTGTTGCTGTTGCTGCAACTGTACATGCTGCTGCTGTTGCTGTTGGTGATGCTGCTGCAATGTGTTGCTGGCGGCCGCTGCAGCTGCAGCTGCTGCTGCTGCGGCAACTGTGTTAGTCAAGTCGCTATTTATCACCAGATTTGTGATCTGATTGCTGTTGCTGCTGGTGCTGCTCCTGCTGCTACTGCTTGGACCATTGTTACTGACATCGACAGCAGTACCAGCAGCAGTTGTTGTTGCTGTTGTTGCTGCTGCTGAACCATTTCGCAGCTCCGTATGCTGATCGAAACCCAGGCCACTGTCATTGGAATTGTCACAGGGCGGCGGATGCGGTCGCTGTGGTATTCGCTTCCCCGGCACCAGCTTTCCGGGCCCCGTCTGACCAACCCAACCAACCAACCAAAAGCAGCAATCGAAGCAGCAATCGCAGAAGAATGAGAAATAAGTACAAGTGGCAAACGGTTGCTCAACTGTTGTGTGCTTACCCTGGCAATGGTGTGCAATTTACCGGGCAATCCCTTGCCCGTCTGTCTCTTCGATGGTATCCGAAAGCCTTTGCGATGGATGCGAGGACTCATTGTCGAGTTTGTGGATATCGTCATGCGCATCCCTGCGAATATAAATAAGATAACAAATATGATCATGAATATCTTAGTTTATTTTGATCAAAAATTAGATAAATATTAAGTTTATTGTTTGATATATTCTGATTAACTACGATTTTCGATCTAACGAGCTCGAGATTCGTTGCTTAACTTTTATTGATATTATTGACAAGTCCAATCTTTTGCAGTACAGGTATATATATTTAAGAAAGATTGATACAATTTCCCAGCAGTTTGTATGCAAATATTTTGTGGTTGTTGTTGTTGATAGACGAGATGAGATGCTGAGCAAGCAAAGTATGTCATAACCTCAAGATAAAACCCGTTCAAACCAGAATTCCACAATGATAACGATAGAAGAATAGAAATCACAATTGCGTCCAGCAGTTTTGTGCAACATGCTGTCCGTCCAATTAGATCAAGACAATAAATATGTTTTTGTTTGAATGCGATACAATATTAAAGATTTATATGTATACATATATATATATATATATATATATATATATATATATGTGTGTATGTGTATGTGTATGTGGCGAGACCGAATCAAGTGCTTCATTTAAACATACAATGCAAAAATGGTTTGATGCTTGCAACGCAGCTTGCTGCTTGCTGCCTCAGCTGCTGCTGCCTCTGCTGCTGCTGCTGTTGCTGCTGCTGCTGTTGCTGCTGCTGCCAGCTGCTGATAATGCCCCGTAAACGGGAACGATGCTGAGATGGAGCCGTACCAGCAGCCACTAGTCATATAGGCATACGGGGTGCATTGAACTCAATGTCCGCTCTGTGACACACAGGGACACACAAGTCCCACATACGTCTACACTGGCAAAAACAAAGCTCAGAGAATATTTTACAACTACACACATTGCCAATGGCAACAGATTTGTGTGTGCAGAATGTTCTCAAAATTGAGAACGATTGTATTTTGAATTACTTGGGTTAACGCTATTAATATATACAAATTGGATGGCTACAGCAGCTCTACGAATATATATCGATATTTGAGAAAGGGGCTTATCGATAAAATGACAAATGACCTGATCTGCCTGTGGTAGACGAGAATTATTATTATTGTACAAATTGTAAGTCTCTAACTCTGCCTCTGATGGACATGGCTATATAGACTCGTCTGTTGATGTTGATCAGGAATATATATACATGTTAGGAGTCACCCTATTAATGTTTGCAATGAATATTTCGCAATTGATTTATTTAGGATATAATCCCTCAGTGAGTTGTACTTTTAATAACAATATATCAAAAAACTGCATGCTCGTTTGTAAGTGAGTTTTTCTTCGAGTGCATGTCTGTATATGTAGAGATATATATGCGTATAAATACATTGTCATAAATATACTAGCTGCCTAGTCGCAGTAGCTCGATTATTTTGCAGCTGTCATTGTGCATGTAAATTGCACATCAAGTTGCGCCCCATTGTTGCAGGCAGGCCGGCAGTCAGTCAGTTTAGGAGGCTCAATTGATGCTCAATTTGAGTTGGTGGATGAACAAACGCATCCCATGCATCCCACCCATCCACCCATCCACAGAACTGCTGGCCAGTTGTTGTCTCTCTCGCATTATCAATGCCCAGTTGCAGTTGCCGTCGCTGTTGCAGATAGCAGCTGTAGTTGTTCTAATAGTAGCAGCAGCAGCAGCAGCAACAGCAGCAGCAGCAGCAGCAGCAATAGCAATAGCAACAGCAACAGCAAAAGTGACAACAACAACATCGAGCAGATGGCTCTACTGATAAGGCCAAGGCGGCGCTAATCAAGAGACCCACTCAAATCTGCATTAATGCACATACAGTTGTGGGAGAAAAAAGTGGCACTATTATTATCATTGCAGAACTTCTGTCTCAGCTATCTGGTATCAGAGCTTTCCTTAATGAAAGGCCATTTTAAATCTAATTATTTGTTGACATGCAAAAGAAAAAAATGTTTATGGTTCAATTGACAGCCGACTTAACCTAACCTGGTTCAATTGATGTACTCAGAAAACCAATGTGAATTGGATAACTTAAAATAAAAAACTGTGAAAAATTACAGATTGTTAATCGGATGCTATATAGAAGTATTCCCCGATATGCAAGCACATCTGCGTATTGGGTATTTGATAAACTTGAATCGTTTCTTGAATTTTGGTATTTATATATTGATTGTAAATGGAAATAATAATAATAATAATAGTTAATAATTATGGTCTTTTGAGATTTCATTTGTTTTCGATCGGAATATAATAATTATTATTCGCAATCAACTCTGATTCCCGTCAATATGGTCAAATCAAAGACAAAACAAACTCTTAAATAATTTATAGTCTCAGAGCATATTCAAAATTCAAAACTATTTATTTATTGACAAAAATGATATTCAAGAGAAAATCATTTTTGGTTTGCCAAATATTAAATATTCGACCGGATATCTTGCAATTCACGACACATAAAACAAAATGTTCATGTCGCATTTGAGATGTGTAAATATTGTAATTAATACTTTCGAACGTTCTTAGCAATAAAAAGTTTACACTTCTGAGAACCTTAGAAACCAAATTAAGATACACAAACAGTTATTAAGTGTGTTTTGGAAATTGTTGTTCCGATTGTTGTCAAGTCGTGGTGCTGCTCAAGCCCATAAAGATATTTCTTATAGATAAGCGGGGTATTCATAAAATTTGGTTTCACTGTAGAACATGACATGGCTACATTTTCGACATTTCGATATGGCATAAATTAAGCATTGAATGTTTTCAAGATAAGATATAAATCAGTGTACTTGTCATTCGAATCGAATAAAAAAAAGAAAAAAAAAAGAAAATTAATAATAATAATAATATTTTGTCAGCATACATTAATTAAAATCGTAATTATTATGTTTTATTTATCTAGGCCACAAGAGATAAGCGTTTTGGCAAATATTTGCCAACGACAAATAATAACAACATTAACACAAAAACAAAACAATCTAATATCAAAATGTATATATGTATGTGTATGAGTGTGTGTGTGTGTCAGGATTCCTTGGTTATGTGGTAATACAAATGTTTTATTTTGTCGCTGCCTGCAATGCCTCATGTAAAACATCGCCAAAGGTGCAAAGCCGCACAACAATCGTGTTTGAGTGTGTGTGTGTGTGATCATTATGCCCAGTTCCGAAAACATAATCAATAAACAATAAAAATATATATATATATATACAAATATATTGGCTGGAGAAACGCACCTACCTCAGCCACAAAAAGCGTTAGCTGATCTTACCTACATATGTACCTGCCACTGACGCGGCACCTTTATCTAAGCGCCTGCGATAAGACAAAAACAATCGGAACCTAAACCACCCACCTATACCTATACGCACACACACACACACACACACACACACACGCACACACACACACACACACATACCTATACGTATACGCACAAAGAGCGCGCCTTTTCACACTGGCAGGCGACGACGAGTCGCGGTTTATCTGTGATCTCCACGGCGATAAGATTTTTGTGTTTCTTCTCGGGTCGCCTTTATGTAATTTCCACGGCTTCAATTGGCATACAAAAAACCGGTTTAATTCAATTCAATTTGTTGCACTTTGCGCTTTGTATTAAGCTTTGCGGCAATTGGAACGTAAAAAAAAAAACATTCAAACTTAAATAAAGTCGACGACACCGGGCCAACAGTCAATACAGTTAAAAGCAAGAAGCCAGAAAAATTGATTTACATAAACCATAAATATAAATTTGGAGAATTTTGAACTCAAATCAAGAAGACAAATTTTTGTCACAATTCGGTTAGAATACTTTTCAGAATTGAAAGCATTTATAACGTTGTCAAAACTCTACCGATTTTCAAACGCAAAATAATTTTTGATTCTGAATTTTTCTTTCTAGGATATACAAAATCGGAGATCAATATGCGCAAGTGAAACAATTCCTTATGGTTAGAGGACATGGGGTAGATTTAGAAATGGATCTGTAGTGCAACGATATTCTATATACTATTATAAATGATGCTGCAGACTTCTTGGCCAACGGGTCAACGTTACCTGTGGTCTTTCATCAGGCCTTAATCTTATCGTTGATAATCTTGACAAACGACAATATATACATAATATCTATATATATATATAGAGAAGAATGAAATCTGAACTGCAGTGGAGGCAGCTACTAATCAAATCATGTATATTTTATGTGACTTAATTACAAAACGCAAACAACACTCATCAACACTCATGTGAAGGCGCCAGTCGCTCGGAAGCCTTTGTAAATACAAATAATTTCTGGAAATCCGTTTCCAATTTCGCACAGTAACCAAACTAAGAAACATAATAAGATCCGATTGGATAAGCAGACATATCATATTTGTTTGCCATAATCATTTTTCATTGATTTACATTTAACGAATGATGGAATTCATTTAATGCTTAGGTGTTATTCTATTACTATTATTATTATTGCCCACTCCTTTGTAAATGAACTATAGTTCTTAATCAAACCCAATATTTCTTTATAGAGCACTCACTTCGCTAATAAATCTAAATAGTAAGAAGAAAAACGAGTATATTTTAAAATTATTAACATAACATTCCAATTGATTATCCCAATATTATCTGTGGCGTTCAATTAATTCTGTGCCTTTTTGCGGGGGGCACTCGATCTAAAACCCCGAACTGGGTCCACCAGGCAATATTATCTTCTAGGATAGCCGTTCTTACTTGTCACTTTGTTCTTTTTTTTTATTATTATTATTTTATTTAATTTATTTTCGAACTGAGAAATATTGTATTCGATATGCAACATTCGTTGATTCGTTTGTGTTGCAGCGCAGCTTACCAAAATTGCTTTTGTAATGATGTTGGTATGCATTTGTATTGGAATTATTGTGGTTGTTGCTGTTGTTGTGGTGGTGATTGTAGTGATGATGGCCACTGCCATTGTTGTTGTTGCTGCTGTTACTATGGTTGGTGTTGCTGTTGTTGTTATTGTTGTTGTTGTTGATTTTACCGGCAGTACCATTGCCATGATGATGGCCCAGATTGTGCATTTTGGATGGAATACGATAGCCGGACTCGTAATATTTATACTGATTGTAGGTGAAGCGCATTTTGTTGCCGTTTTTGTATTTGTCTCAATATACTCTTTATATATATATATACATATATGTTCTTGCTTTAATTGATTTTATCTTAAATTCATATAAATCATTTGCAGCATTGAATAAAATAGTTGTTGTTTGTTGTTGAGTTACTCTTAAACAATTTAACTTCTATTTATGAATTCATAAAATTATATTTGGTTGCTTTGTGGTTGGCACGTTTCTTTTGTATTTAATTTGATTATTATTGTCACTTTGATTGTTTAATTGATGTTATTAGATTTTTTTTTGTTGTTTGTGATTATTTGGCATTACAATTATTTGTACATTTTATTTGTACATGTTGTTGTTGTTGTTGTTGTTGGTTGGTTGGTTGATTAGTTAATGTTCATAATAAATACATGTTTACGTTTGTGTTTCTTTGTTGCTGTTGTTGTTGTTGTTGTTTTTTCTTTATTTACTGTAAAATTAAAACAGAAAGCAACGTTTTTTATTTATTTATTATTATTATTTTTTTTTTTTTGGTTTAACAGTCAAAAACGCACACAAGTCGTGCGATGCTGGAAATTAACATTTTTATATGATCGCTCGTTGGTTTGTTTTGTTTTTTCAATTCGCATTTGATTTATATTCTTAGTTTTTTTTTTTTTTTTTTGCTTTTACGTAGCGCGAAACCGAGCACAGCCGATAAAGCGAAACGACGAAGAAGGTAAGAATATACGTATATATATAATATGAAAGCTTTCTCTACTACCGACTGATCGACAGACAGACACCCTACACGCGGATCTTGAAGATGCCAACTATTTACTGTCCAATTGCTCAAAATACTTTCAGACCATAAAAGTTAAAAAGAAAAACTAACTAAAACTAAAGACTACAAAATGTTTTTATAGTCCATCAACTTGCACACATCCATTACAGAGTATATACGAATTAAGAATGCCATCAGAATCTGCTGCCAGAAGTTGGCAAACACGATGATTATGACAATGAATGCTAATAATGATCTGATGTGTGCTAAATGCATTTATCGTTTTTAGGTTTGTGAAACAAGTTTTGGAGGCTACCTTGAGAGTTTTGATTTCTTCCTTACTTTACAGTTATGCATGTGGAGTATTTATTGCTGCATAACTGGTTCACTCAGCCCTTTTACTTTTCCATCACAATTATTTCCACAACGATGCTAATTGTTTTCATTTAAAAGCATTTAGAGACCAGGAAACAAAATAGCCTGCCGATTGATATGATATTAATATCTCCCAGGGTCTGTTAAAAAAAAAAAAAACGCTTTTAATTGACAGATTTCAATTATTCGATTCACAAAACAAGTGACAATTGGCTCAACCTAACCTTGTTTTGTTTGTCCGATTAAGGACAATTGCCGATTTGTTTACCAACAAAGGAGTTATCTCATTACACAACAAATTATTATCGACAGTGTGGGTAACAAGATATGAAATATATTTATTGATATATTTCAAAAACACAAAATTGAAAAAATAAACAAAATATGTAATTACACAATAATTATTAATGTATATGTATGTTTGATTGATCAAGCAAGTCAGTGCAATCCAAAGGAACATTAAGTGTTAATCTTGATTGTGTCATGGCACCAATCAACATATGAAGTGCGTAGAGGCTCATATCACTGTCATTACTAAATAAATGCATGAAAACCAATGCCAAATTCTATGAAGTGATTATTAAATGGCACTTGACGCCTTCATATATATATATATATATATATATATATATATATATGTATAAATACACACATACATACATGCATACATACATAAATAACTTATAATCACTAATTTTAATTTATTTGCACACATTTTTCAATAAATATTGCGAATTATTGATCTAACCTGAACTAATAATGACAAAAACAAAACAAAAACAAAATGAAAATATTGAATGGCACTCCAAAGACAAATATACGTAATTGTAGAATTGAATCGAATCGTATCGTATCGAATTGAATTCAATCAAATCTCAAACCGAATCAAATCTTGAACGCGAATAATTTTAATGCTTGTGGCTATAGCTGTTTCTGTGACTAGGTCTGCCTCTATTTGGGTTTTGTTCAGGGGTTCGGTTGCGGTTGCGGCTCCGATTGCGATTGCGATTGCTTTGGACTGGGGCGCTGCTTCTCTAGGCGCTCTGCTCTGCGCTGCGCGGCGCAGCTCTGCTCTCACTGTGGCTGGCGGTGGCGCTGATAAGATAAAGCCGCTTAACCACAGCACCGCCGATCGTTCGTTTCGTTAACGTTTTCGGCTCGATTTTGTTTCGGTTTCGGTTTTGTTATGTTGTAATTCCGTTTCTGTTTTCGGCTTTCCCTGAAAGCAGTTTTCCGGATGCAAGCCCGTTTTAAATATGTATTTTTTTTTGTTTTTGAGCGCTTTGTCGAAATTGGCATTTACAAATAGATTGTATTTTCGGCGACATGCCGATTAAAGATACTCCCGATCGAAAGGCGATCAGCCGACGGCGACGACGGTCAACGATAACAAAGCTGCAACTTTCGATGTTGTCGCTCTTTCATTGTTGTTGGTGCTGATTCAGCGCGACAGCAGCAGCAGCAGCAGCAACAACAATAATAATAATAATAATAATAATAATAACAACAACAACAACAAACACGCACACATACTTTAAGCACGCGCGACAAAATGCACAGTAAAAAAAAAATTAAATAAATATGTACATTTATATATATATAAATATATATATATATATATTATTGGAAACAGAATAATAACAATAAGTGAAAATAAATTCAAAGCGCGCGTAAAAAAAAAATCACCGTTTAGTCACAACTTGAGCGTCGTGTTGCGAGCACTTACGCTGAGATCGATGAACTAAAATCCTAAAGAACGACAATCCGTAATGATGCCTGGGCCCCGGTGCTTGCTTGGTTTCGAATTCCGCCGGCGCTGTAGAGCATCGCTAAAAGAGAGCGAGAGAGCAGTAGCAGCGGCAGCGGCGGCAGCACCAGCACCAGCAGCAACAGCAACGACAGCAGCAGCAGCACGAGCAACAACAACAAGTGTACGCGTGGTCGCTCGTCGTGCTCATGGCGAGTGACGACAACGGGTTTAATTGACTTCAATGTGTTTGTGAGCGAAGCGCGCGCGACCCTTCGGTCACACTGATTTCTGTTCGTGTTGTCGTTTTTCGATTCGTATTCGCATTCGGTTTGCAAGCGCAAATTGATAAAAAAAAAAAGAAAAAAATAAGTGACGTGCACGGCCACCGACGAGTGGGCGGCCGAGTCAATTGAAACCAATATCGATATCGATATGCACACGGAGAGCAAATAACTGCTTTTGCTGTTAATTAACATCTTTAGCATAAGCCTCTTTCTCCCTCCTTCCTATCACTCTCTCCCTCTCTGTCCCTCTCCATCTTTTTTTTTTTTTACGCAATTTTCAGTAAATTTCAGACAGAAAGCAGAAAGCAAAAATGTGCAAAGTGATCCGTGTTCAAAATTTCATACATACTTCCAAATCAGCTCACATATTTATGATGTGTCTATGCAAAGTGCAGTGTGCTTGGAGCACTTTCAAAATTTTGGGCTTTTCAAATACACATACACATACACACGCATATACACATTAATATTTGAACTTGCTATGCACGCTTCACGCCCCAGAGCAGCACGACAACAACAGTGAGATCTGTTAACAGTAACATAACAACAACAGTTATGGTGTTAAATTCTTATAGGCTGTTTCATTGCTCCCACCGTGCCACAAAAAAAAGAAGAAAAAAAACAACAACAACAACAACAAATGCCCAAAATGTTGATAAACAAGAAAGCACGTGCAGCCCTTGGCCGTACATCGAATATTGCATACCCTGTCAGACCAGTTGGACAACTGTTTACATGCATCACATAGTTGAACGATTTTTTTTTTTACATAATGCTGATTTGAAGCATAAATGTGATCGTTTCACCTGCATATTTTTCAAATTAAATTAAACACGTTTTGTGTGCTTGAAAATGGCTTTGTTAATGAGAAAACTATAATGCTCTCTGCACAAGGGTATCAAAATAAAAGCCATTAAGAGAACTTTCGCTGGGCACAATTCAAATGGAGCTTGGGCTCCACGATGCAGGCCAAAGAATTACATATGTATATATGTATGTATATATATGTATATGTGTATGTATACATATATGTACGTATCATTTGGTTGGACACAAATGATAAAAGCAAACAAGAACAGAAAAATTGCGCGTAGCTAAATAAATACAGCAGGCATACATAGCCCATATGTAAATTGTAGTTCAGCCAACTATCAGAAAGAAAAAAGGAAAAAAAAACAGCGCACCTCGAAATAATTATCACAATCAACGAACGCCGCCGTCTTCGTCGTCGTCGTCGACGTCGTCGTCGTCGTCGACGTCGTCGTCGTCGTCGACGTCGTCGTCGTCGTCTTTGTTGTCGTTGTTGTCGTCGTCATCATTATCATCGTGTTGATCGCTTTTCGGGTACTATTCAGTTGAGAATGCCCGATCAGCGCCAAAAAACATATCAAATGACGCGCGCTGGCGCTAGAGGGCGCTATGTGTCTCTCTATTTATCTCTCTCTCTCTCTCTCTCTCTCTCTCTCTCTGTCTTTCTCCCTCTCACTGTGTCCAGAAATTAACACTGCCAATGTAACTCATACGCATCGTTGACTTTGATCACTTTATTATTAGCATTAATTAATTGTTCTTAAAGTATGAGTTTTCTTTCACGTCTTCACCGGTTTTTGTACTTTGATACCGAAGGTATCACATACTGGTCTGTGCCCGCGTCGTACAAAGTATACAAATTTGAGTGCTACTTCCATTAGCGGCTAGGAAATCGATAAGATCGATATTTACAAATCGATAAGGCCACATATCTCCCACAATTTGAAAGATAGTCACCAAACTTGGATGGTAATGTGTTAGTAACTTCATTCAATGAGCTGCATATGCATTTCCAGACCACGCCCACACTCGCCACCCCCACGAACTTCGGACCCGAGAAATCTGAAA